ATCAGCAAACTTTACCAGGGCGGGCCTGGCGGCGGCGGCTCCGGCGGCTCCGGGGGACCGACCATCGAGGAAGTGGACTAAGCTGTAGTCGGTCAGCCTGAATCTCTTTTCCTTTCTTTCTCTCCCTTTTGTTTTTGTTTCTCCTCTGAAGCGCCCTGCCAAGTAGGAGACCTAGTGTTGCAGGTCTTTAGCGCCCGGGACTCTGATTATGAAAGGAAAGGTACAACAACTTAGTTTACTTATAAAAGGTTAGTTCTCAAGTTTGATTTTGGAAAAGAAAAAAAAACCCGCAAACCTTATTGGAGGTTTCTCTTTGCTGCATTTTGTGTGTTTGCTGACTTGATTATTTTTGGTTAGCTTAGTTTGTGCATGGGGATTTGTTTTGAGGTGGGGAAACCTGAAGCTTGCACACCTGTCCTGTGGGGGCTTGGTAACAATAAAATATAGAGAGAAGCTTGTTTATTCTTATGCACTGCTTTAAAGAGAAGAGATCAGTAATGTTAAGGACAGGTATACTATTTTTTTTTTGCAAATAAATGCAAATTTAAAGTAAAGTTGTAATTGACCTAAAAATTCACTATCTTGGAGTTTTTAATTTCCCCTCTTCCCGTGTTTTTCAGCCAGGTGGGTCTTTTTAAGATATTAAGATGATGTGAACTTTATCTAACCCAATCTTGTCTAAGTCTCAGAGGAGGTTCCTGCCTCAAATTCCCAACTTAAGGGGAGAAGAATCTGGGTCAACTTTTCTTTTCTCTCTCTGGTACCAAAACCTGACTGGGGGATCTTTTAGAGTACTCAGATTCCTAAGGCTTGGCCGAAGCGTTCAAGTGAAAATCCGCCTGAATGTCCCCAAGAAAGCGTGAGCTGTATTCTAGGGTTAAGAACGAAACTGTTTCTTCTGACAAGTAACACAAGCCTGGGACAGGAGCTGTCTGTCTCCTTAATAATTAGCCAGCTGCTTTTCCCGACATCAGGTACCAGCAGGCAGACTTGAAGTAGCTTGATACTAAGAGTCCAAATGTAATCACACTTGTTTTACTTTTCTAGTAAAACAGCCCAGAACATGTTTCCAGAAGTTATAATTACTTGGGGGTGGTGGTGGTGGGGAGAGGGTAGGGGAAGATGATGGGATGGGGCTTCAAAAAGTTCGTGGAAAATTCAAATCATTCAATTTTCCCACATTTGACACTCCTTGTATAGATACCTTTGCCTTAAATCATTATAATTTTTTTTAAAAGGCAAAGTACAACAACATACCCTAGTATTTTGCTAATATACAACTTATCCATTTTCCTCTATATCTAATTGTTACAGATAAAAAAATTGCAACCCTTTGGAGATCCACTGTCCTGGGCTTCAGCTTTCAAATTTGTGTCCTCGGGAAGAAATGAATTGTTGATGGAATGACACTTTTGCTTTGTTTTGATTTATTCTCTTTAAGGAAAAGCTGGGAGAGACTGCAAAAATGCACAGTTAACCTAGTGTTTTCACTGCACACGGACATGCTGACAATCTCTTTCCAAGTATTCACTTCCTATTGTTGATAACAGTGAATTACTGAAGCTGTACTTTTATTTAATTCAGTAATGGTCCCCTCTGTGTCATACAGAGATTATCGCTAATAACTCGAAAACAAGTTAGCCTAAGAATACTGCGGTTAGTAATGACTTCACACAAGAGTTGCCCCTTATGTATAGGTCATTTTTTGTTTATGAAGTCTCACTTGGTTGGGGGGGGTGGTTTGAAAGACAAGACAATTGTGAAGCTACTTCAGAATAAACCTAATTTTTTTTTTTTTTTTTTTTTTAAGGAAATTGCCAGTGCTGGTGTCACACTGGTGGAAAGGATTTAGCGGCACTGAAGGGTGTCTCGTTGTCTACAGACAGCGTCACACAAGCCTGGACGTATTACATGCCACATTTTCAGTTGTTTTGAAAAGTGATTTGTAAAAACTCTTAGCCTTTTTGAATTGCTTTCAATTATGTCTTCTCAAATGTACCCAGAGTTGAATATTTTGCTAAGATAAAGCCAGCAAGTTACCAGGAGTCAGTTGAAACTAGTAATCTGATAACTCCTGTGGACTCCTTAGTAGATGTTAGATTAGTCAGAGTCAAATAACAGTGGAAAAAGTCCTTGATGTTAGGACCGGCTGAATTACAGTTTCGGGAATAATTAGCATTATTTGAACTTGAAAGCAGCAAGACAATGTGAGGGACTAGAGCTCATGACTAATCCAAAGGCACCGTGTATAGAACGCCAAGTGATAGAATGCATCTATTTCTCTGAATAGCACTTACATTCTTACCAGAATGTCTTACTAGCCTTTGTCCCTGTTTTGAGGCACTGAATCTCAAAACCTGTCATTATAAGGACAAGTTGTTCACAGTATTTGAGGTGTGTGAAACTTCAAAACAAGTACATTTTTATAGTAGTCATTTAATATACCTATGGAAATGCATTAAAACTCATGCATGAGGAGAGAGGAAAATCTTTCAATTTCACACACATGGTAGGATATGTAATATATCACTCCTTCAGTGTGTCATGGAGACTTAAGGAGAACTGCTCTATCTCGGCTATAATAGCACACAGGAACACAAGCTGGCTATCCAGGTGAAAGGAGAGCTCGTTTTCTGAACCCCCAAGTAGTGGCCCCTAAGGCATTCCTGTTGTGTTATGAGGCATGTTCCTCTTGCTGCTGAACACTGGGATCAGATTCAAGCTTTAAAAACTCACATCCCCATGGAACCCTTCAAAAAGCTGGTGGAAAATGGAATTAGTTTCATTTTGGTGCAAAAAAATACTGAGATGCACGTGTGTCGCTTCATAATGCACATTTTCCACGAAGTTTTTGAAAACCCCTGCTGTGTCTCTAGGAGGACACTGCTAGGGGAATACATTATGTTTGGATTAAGAAACAGGAGTATTCGATTGCGTCCATGCACTTACTGTATAAATAGGTATGTGTAAACTGTTCAGGATTAGAAGTTAGATACTTCATTCCATTCCTTGAAGAAAAATGGTGGTTCATCAGAAAAAGATCCCAGTGTTTATTCTTGAGATAGCTCTGGGCGTGGGCATATTTTAGAGGTATAGCATTTCTGAAATTTAGTCGGGTGGTATTTCATGTTGGAATCTTGCTCCCTTAAAACCAGCCAGGTCATAGGCCCCTTGGCCATACTGTTCCCAGAGAAGATGAGGCTGTTTGTGAATTGAAGGCTAGGGAGATAAATGAGCAACCTAAACTGGAGTTAACTGATTCAAAATCTGACACTGCTGTTTTCCGTCATGAAACTGAATTTTTTGGGTAGAACTGTAATACTATGAAAATCTATCCATTTCATAATTTAAGCATACATTATATTCAGTTAAAGGCTTGGGCCTGAAGTCTGAGACCAGCAACTTAGTTGCATGACCTTGAGGAGTTTCTCTAAACTGGGCAAGAAACTCCCTCACGGAATAGCTGGAATTATTCAGTAGTTAGAAGGTAACCCTGTGTTACCCTACTGTATAACATCAGGAAATGCTTTTCCGCCTTTAAAGGGAAAAAATTTATATTTCATTGCAGGTTGTGAGTTTCTAATATTTAAAAAACCTAACGTGAAAATTCTGGCCTAGGAAATGAATGCAGCACACTTTAGAATAAGGAATGATTTAGAACCATAAAAACCTTCTTTTGTTAAAGTGAATAGATATATAACTCCTTTCAGAGTTGTCCTTTAAACTGTATATTCCTCTAGTACATGTGAATTACTTTACCAAGTAGCTTCTTAAGTATATTTGTCATGTAACTTTTGAGTAGTTACTGCGTAGGGTTCTCAATTCTTATTTTTACTTTAGTTTTTTTTGTACATTGGCTAGCCCACTACAGTAAGCAATATAAGATCTTCAGTTTTCTGTTAGCACTTATCTAGGGGATGAATTGAACACACTCACCTACTTGTGGGTTTTCCTAATAATGGTGGTGCGGTCACTGGATTCCAGCCACATTCCCCGTTCTCAGTCTTGGCTGGAGCTCCCTGTCCTCCCCTCCCCGCGATGTGGACCCACTTGGTGAGAAGCTCTGGCTTGGCTTCCGGGCTCAGCTCCTTTTCAGCTGAGTCACCTTGTGATAAACAAGCATTGTTCCCAGCTCCGACCCAGCACAGCCGGGCTGTAGGTGGGTTCCCCGCTGTGAGCTCACCCCAGCAGAACAGGAATCGAGATGATTGCAGTTTTATTACCGCTACAACTAGAGACTGGGCGCCACCAGGCAATGATACTGGGGGGGAGGGGAGCAGTGGAGGGTCTACCGTCAGAATTTTCAAGTTGGCGTGAATTGCTAAGTGGCTACTGAGCGTCTTTTTACCGATTAAACTGTAGGGGGATACACAACATTCCCGTTCTCCTTGCACCGTCTTGTACTGGGAGAAAAAAAGTTAGAACGTGGATGTCAATTCAGTTGCAAAAAAAAAAAAAAAAAAAAAAAAAAAAAAAAACACATGATCTGAAACACAAATGCAAATACCCGCTGGCACAGGGCGAAGTCGAAGCAACACTAATCTCACCAACGGAGTGCCAGGCTTGCAAGCCTGCGGTATTTCGACGACAGCGACACGGGAAAGAAGCTACCCTAAGCTGGGTTTGTAGAGCTCACGGCGCGGTGGGGCAGCCCGGGCTCAGCCTCGCACGCCCGGACTGGCGCGGCCCCGCAGCGGAAGCCGGAGCCCCGCAGCCGCCAGCGCCCGTCCCCGCGCCGGTCCCCGCCCCGCCCCGGCCCGGCCCGCACCCCGCCACGTCCCCCGCTCCGGTGTCCGCCCCGCGCCGCGCGCCGGTCCCCGCCCCGCGCCTTGCCCCGCGTTGAGCCCCACGCCGCGCCCCGCGCGCCCCGTCCCTCGGCTCGCGCCCCGCGCCCCGCGCCCCGCCCCGCGGCCGCCCGCCCCGTCCCTCGCCTCGCGGCCCGCGCCGGTCCCCGCCCCGCGTACCACCCAGCGCCTGGCCACGCGCCCAGCCCCGCGGCCTCGCGCCCCGCGCCGGTCCCCGCCCCGCGTACCACCCCGCGCCTGGCCACGCGCCCAACCCCGCGCCCTGCGGGCGGTGGCCTGGGCGACGCTGGGAGGCGCCGGGCGAGGCCATGTACTCGGTGCCCGAGCTGTATTCGAGGCGGAGGCGCCTGGACTGGCAGACCTCGACCCTGCTGGAAGTAAGTGCGGCCTGGGGGTCGCCCCCGGAGGCGGTGGCCGCCCGCACCCTGGCCCTGGTCACCCGCAACACCCAGACTGTCCGGCAGGCGGACGGCGTTGATCTGTGGCTCCCTCCTTAGTGCCCATGCCCGCCTTGGCCCCCAAGGGGTTGGTGGGGCACCCTTGGCCCCAGGGCGCGGGTGGGGTCCCGGGAGAGGCAGGGGCGGGGGTGGGGGCTCGCCCTCCTGAGTGCCAGCTGACAAGTTGAGACCCTGGGGGCCACACCCCATTTACTCAAGTCGTGGCTACGACCCGCTTTGAACCAGGTGCGGTCTAAGTTGTCTTCCCCCTCCTCTCCCTTCCTGCTGAAGCTACACCTAACGAAAACCCTGGCTTCGAGTTAAAAAAAAAAAAGAAGTTTGAAGAGTCTCCATCTTTATTATAAAAAGAGGGACTAGTGGGGGTCGTTGGGAAAGTTTTTATTGCGACATGTGGCTTGTGGCTTGAACTGTTCATTGCTTCTGCTGAAATTATCTCATTTCACAGCAATTGGGATTGCGACTAGGGATGTGGTACTGGAAAGATGAGACCAGAACTCTTGAATTCAGAAGGTAATTTTCCCCCAGATTGTATTAGAATATTTATTTTAAACAATGGGCATGTGTTCAGCGACAGAGAGGAGTTAGTGAGTGATGGGCACTGTGTTAATCAGCCCACTGTTTGAAACAACCTGATCTGTCCCGGTTGCCCCTCTTCCAGGCCAGCTCTCTGCTGTGGCCCGGGAGTGCAGTGGAGGATGGCCCAAGTGCTTGGGCCCTGCACCCCATAGGAGACCAGGAGAAGCACCTGGCTCCTGGCTCCTGCCATCGGATCAGTGCGGTGCGCTGGCCGCAGCGCGCCGGCCGCGGCAGCCATTGGAGGGTGAACCAAAGGCAAAAGGAAGACCTTTCTCTCTGTCTCTCTCTCACACTGTCCACTCTGCCTGTAAAAAAAAAAAGAAAGAAAGAAAGAAAGAAAGAAAGAAAGAAAGAAAGAAAGAAAGAAAGAAAGAAAGAAAGAACGAACTGCCTGATAACCCAGAAATCCAAGGATTGAGTGCTTTCTGGAAAATTGCAGGAGCTGGCCTAATCATGCAGTTCAAGGACAGCTAAGACCAGTCAAATGTAGGTCTGTTTGGCTCAGAGTCTGTGTTCTCAACTACTGCATAAAATTCCTTTTTTTTTTTTTTTAAGATGCATGTATTTGAAAGGCAAAATTACAGAGAGAGAGATCTTCCATCCGATGGTTCACTCCCCCAAATGGCCACAAAGGCTGGAGCTGGGCTGCTCTAAAGCCAGGAGCCAGGAGCTTCCTCTCAGTTCTCACTTAGGTGGCAGGACTCGGACCATCGTCCACAGCTTTCCCAGGCCACAGCAGAGAGCTGGATTGGAAGTGGAACAGGAGGGACTCGAACTGGGGTCCATGTGGGATACCGGCACTGCAGGCGGAGGATTAATTTACTATGCCTTGGCGCCGACCCCTCTTGCAAAATCCAAACTAATTTTAAGCTCCATTGAGAAAACACTAGCCTTTAAACAATTATAGCTACATTAGTAATACAAGCCACTATGCTGTATACCTTTATTTATTTATTTGCATATTGCTCTCATTCTTACAATAGCTGTAGAAAGTGATCATTAATATCCTCATTTTATAGCTGTAATGAGCTCAGGGAGATTAAACAACCGAACCAAAGTGATAGAGCTAGTAAGTTGCAGAACTGCCAGTACGAAGCAGGATTTATCTGATGCCAAACCCTTGCACTGTGCGTGCTCTCTCTCTGCTAGACTGCAAGCCCCTCAGGGGCAGGGGCTCTCTCACTTCTCTTTTTTCTCTGGAGCCACTACAGAAACTTCACAAACCAGGAGCTAAACAGATGTTTATTGAGCCTGTTAAGAAAGCAGGTAGGGGCCAGTGCTGTGTCGTGGCGGGTAAAGCTGCCGCCTGCAACGCTGACATCCCATATGGGTTCTGGTTCAAGTCCTGGTTGCTCCACTTCCGATCCAGTTCCCTGCTAATGTGCTTGGGAAAGCAGTAGAAGATGGCCCCAGTGCTTGGGGCCCTGCACCCACGTGGGAGACCTGGAGGAAGCCCTGGTCGTTGCGGCCATTTGGGAAGTGAACCAGCAAGTGGAAGATCTCTCTCTCTCTCTCTCTCTCTCTCTCTCTCTGCTTCTCAAATAAATAATAAATAAATATTAAAAAAAAAAGAAAGCAGCTAGATTCAAGTGGGGGAAGACTAGAGAGAGGGCACTGATTAGAAGAATTACAGAGGGGCCGATGCTGTGGCTCACTTGGTTAATCCTCCGTCTGTGGTGCCGGCATCCCATATGGGCGCCGGGTTCTAGTCCCGGTCACTCCTCTTCCAGTCCAGCTCTCTGCTGTGGCCCAGGAAGGCAGTGGAGGATGGCCCAAGTGCTTGGGCCCTGCACCCGCTTGGGAGACCAGGAGGAAGCACCTGGCTCCTGGCTTCGGATCGGCGTAGCTCCGGCCGTGGTGGCCATTTGGGGGGTAGACTAACGGAAGGAAGACCTTTCTCTCTGTCTTTCTCACTGTCTGTAACTCTACCTGTCAAATTAAAAAAAAAAAAGATGAATTACAGAGAGTTACACTGTGGTTCCCCTTTATCTGTGTAGGAATGCAGTTCTAAGACGTCCAGTAGATGCCTGAGACCAGATAGGCCCAAACTCTACATATAATGTTTTCTCTTATACATACGCATGTATGACAAGGTTTAGCTTACAAAATAGGTACAGCAAGATATTAGCAACAATAACTAACAATTCAATAGAACAAGGGTAACCGTATGCCATAGTTGAAATGAAGTGGATGCAATTGCTCACATAATAGCTCATTATACTGCACTGTGTTCAGAGCATGGTTGTCTACAGGTAACTGGAGCCTTGGAAAGAAACTGCAGATAAGGGAGGACTCCTGCACACGTGGCAAACAGCCTAAAAGAGCTCCATGTCGGGGAAACAGAGAGGAGGCGGGAGAGACTGACATAGTTCTGAGATGGTGTTGCCAGGACGTTTGGGCAGAATTGCTAGGGCGCCGTGCCTGGACGTGGTGGGAGAGGGAGGGGGCGGTGTTCAGATTAGCTCCCGGGTGCTGGCTAGCTTTGCCCTTTGCCCTTGTGCAAAATCAAAGAGACAGAGTCCTTGCCTGACATTGCTCTGATATGTGCACGTGAATGAGGCTGGCAGCCAGGAGAGACACTGGCTCAGCAGATGTGATTTACAGTGGTGTTTTTTATATATATATATATATATACACACACACACACACACACACACATCATGATATGTGATTTACAGTGGTGTTACATATATATATATATATATATATATATTTGAAAGGCGGAGTTACAGAGAGGCAGAGGCAGAGAGAGAGAGGTCTTCCATCCACTGGTTCACTCCCCAGTTGGCCACAATGGCCACAGCTGCGCTGATCCAAAGCCAGGAGCCAGGAGCTTCTTCTGGGTCTCCCACACAAGTGCAGGGGCCCAAGGACTTGGGCCATCTTTTGCTGCTTTCCCAGGCCGTAGAAGAGAGCTGGATCGGAAGTGAAGCAGCCAGGTCTCCAACTGGCACCCATATGGGATGCTGGCACTGCAGGTGGTGGCTTTACCCGCTACACCACAGTGCAGGCCCCTGTTCTTAAAAGATAGCTTGATTTGATTCCCACTGATTTTGGAGAATACCTGTGAGGTGGTATGATTTAAAATATAGGTTTTAGTTAATTATATATTTCAAAATAGCTAGTATAGAGAGGAATATTAATGTCCCCAACACAAATAAATGGTAAATGTGTGAGGTGGTGGGCATGCCAATGCTCTGATCATTAAACATTGTGTTCGGGCACTGGAATATCACGCTGTAACATATAATCATGTACAGATTATTTTATTTGAAACGGAGAGAGGCAGAGCGAGACAGACAGACAGACTGTGAGAGATCCCCAAATGTTTGCAACAGCTCAGGGTGAGAGCCAGATACAATCTCGGTCTCCCACGTGGGCCATCACCTGCTGGCTCTCAGGGTGTGCACTATCAGAAAGCAAGAAATGGGAGCAGAACCAGGACTATAACCCAGATACTCCAATATGGAATGTAGGTATCCCAAACACATTTTTTAAAAAAATATTTATTTATTTATATGAGAGAGTTACAGAGAGAGAGAGAGAGGGAGAGACAGAGAGGTCTTCCATCCGATGGCTCACTCCCTAAATGGCTGCAACAGTGGGAGCTGGGCCAGTCCGAAGTCAGGAACCAGGAGCTTCTTCCAGGTCTCCCATGTGCATGCAGAGGCCCGAGCACTTGGGTCATCTGCTGCTGCTTTCCCAGGCCATAGCAGGGAGCTGGATCAGAAGCGGAGCAGCCGGGACTTGAACAGGTGCTCAGATAGGATGCTGGTGTTGCAGGCGGTGGCTTAACCCGCTGCGCCACAACTGACATACTGTTCTATGTTGGTTCCATCTCTAAAGCAGGAAGACTTTGAACTTGTTCTGGGAGAAAGAAGAGATGAATAGAACAAGGAAGGTGGGACTGGGACCAGGAGAAAACATAAGAGATTTGGAAGGGACACAGCCCCTGTCCCCGTGTGTGCTGGGAAGGAACTTGGTGGTTGGAGGCACGGACAGGCGTGTCTACTGCTCTCCTGAAAATGAACCAGGGAGCTGGCCCTGTGGCACAGCAGGTTAAAGCCATGGCCTGCGGTGTAGGCATCCCATATGGGTGCCGGTTCGAGTCCTGGCTGCTCCGCTTCCAAGCCAGCTCCCTTCTGATGTCCCTGGGGAAGCAGCTGAGGATGGCCCAACTCCTTGAACTCCCTCACCTACACAGGAGACCCGGAAGAAGCTCCTGGCTTTGGTCAGCTCAGCTCCAGCTGTTGCATCCATTTGGGGTGTGAATCAGAGGATTGAAGACCTCTCTCTGTCTCTACCTCTGTAACTCTGTCTTTCAAATAAATAAAATAATTCTTAAATGAACCAGACCCTTGCTGGCTCCTATTGAGGGGAGTATTTGGTAGCAATGATGGTGCACCTCTTTCTGCCAGAGGCTGCCACTCCCCTTGGGGCGCTCTCACCAGGTATTGCTGCCACCACCCCCCCACCCCCTCCCCAAGCTGGGCAGGGTTCAGCATCCTGATCCATGTATGGGGGATGGATTTGCTGAATCCCAGTAGACAGGAACAGTTTCTTAGGGGAGGTGACACCCAAGCTTAACCAGAGAAAGACTAGGAGTTGGCAAGGCAAAGGGAGATTTGGTTGCAGGAGAAGAGAGTGTGTTCTCTGCAGAAGTAAGTACCAGCTACACCCAGACCAGAAAGAGCATGGGATGTGTGCGGGGCTGTGCAGGTGCAGTAGGCTGGGTGGAAAGCCCCAGGCCAGTGTTGAGAGGACGTCGAAGAGACGAACCAGGGCCACATCATGGGTGAGATATCAGAACAGAAGTGGTCTGTGGCAGGTAAAGCTGCCGCCTGCAGTGCTGGCATCCCATATGGGTGCCGGTTGGAGACCCAGCTGCTCCACTTCCGGTCCAGCTCTCTGCAATGACCTGGGAAGGCAGTAGA